AGCGACATATTTGACGGGCAGTCAAAACACCCGTTAACTTTAACAGGCAGTGGAGAAAACGGCCCTTAATAGTAATTTTCCACTTAAAGAAGATGGTGATGCAGAAGAAGATTTTGACGGACGTTAGATAATGGTGAAACAGTTTTGTGGAAAAAAAAATTAATTTTGAGTTGTGAATGTTGTTGATTTAGGGTGCGATATGTATGTATGCTGCAAAGTTCGCAAACAAGATAATACCGCAAATGCTAAAGATAATGTTACTGTCTCAATTTCATATTTGATTTTGTGTTTACAAACAATTTAGATTTTTAATGAGCAGATGTATAAGCGAAAGGTCTTGAACTCACCGCAAAAGTAATAAAACCAGAACGTAGGCCTTACCAAATAATGGTAAATAATTACTTATACAAATGTAAAATGAAAATTACGTTCATTAAAGCTTTTCTTCCTCCATACAACAATAACCGCACAAATAACACATAACAATTGCATACCGCATATCGATTATCAGCCGATGTTTATCGTAGATAAATACAAAATGCTAAATAATCTTTAAATTAACAGAAGTATGTGATTTACTTAAATTATTCATACCTCACAAATAGTGCTAATGACTTCATGAATTATGTATGAATTCATAAAAAAGTAAACAAACTTAAAGACGGCAGCCGACCATTGTATAAAAAATTAAAGATAAACTGTAAAAATACCATGCTTATCCAATCAATTGTCGTGTGCAAAGAAATTGTTTTTTTTTTCGCATTATCTTGTCAATAGCAGGGGGATATGCTGATACTATGTACGAGATACAAAGTACGTTCATAAGTATGTGCGGGTATGTATGTATATCAACGTAGGCGAACACACTGTTTAAAGGGCATAGATACGCTAATATCCGGCTGTCAGCCTAGTGAAACAAGTCACAATGGGGCGCAGGAAAATGCGTCAACAAGGATCGCCAATAAAATTCAATTACTTGCCCTACCCAGTACAACCACCCTTGTTTGTTTTGTTTTGAACCGTTAGCTTATGGGCACAACAATTGTGCTAATTGGTTGCATTAAACACAACCCAGAGCTACATACCTCTCACCTTCATTCTTTCAATATTTAACTAGCTGTCGGATTTTTACCCATCACTATTTTCCCAGCAAAGAAACAGCGAGTAACGCGATTCCCACTGATTGGTTGTGATATTTTTCTTTTATTTAACTATTTTCGCCGTATCTTGGACACAAATGTTGTCTAGCTAAAATGAAAAAGGAGAAAAAAACTAAACGCTAAATGGCCAAATCGCATGGTCTTTCCCATATAGATTACCATTTCCCTGTCATTCTGTAACCAGTTAGCGACAATTTTTGGATCAATATCACGCAAAGTTTGAAATTTTCCTTCCGATAACTTTCGCTAGGCTAACGATTAAAAAATTCGTTCGTTATGCTTTGCGACAGAAGTTTGGTTTAGAGTTTTTTCATAAAATAATGCAGCCTTACAGAATGAATGCTGCATACATACCAAAGAAGCGCAGCGAGTATGATCAAACTGAGTATAGCCCACTCATCATCCATAATTTATTCTATTTATATGCATTCATACTTATTGAAATGCCCTCGAACGTCATATCCACCCTTAACGCTGCGTTTACATAAGACAATTTGAGACAACACAATTGAGAATATGTATTAGTTGTCCAATTGTTGTAGGTGTCCAGACAATTATAAAGACAATACATTTTTCAGCAACCGCCGTTAGTGTCGTTTGCGGCGAATTTCTTATTATTTACTAAAATATCCAAACACAAACCACTTTTTCATAATTCTGTGATTTTTTTGCGATTTTCAGCCCAATTCTTAATACTGCCGGGAAGTTTGTTCTCCGGGAATTTGTTTCTCCCGAAAAATAAATCCTCCAATAACACTGGTCTACAAATTTCAACTTTTTTTCTGCGAATAAGACGGGACCTGGTGTTTCTGAACGGATTTTTCGTGCTGAACACGAATCCGGGGTCAAAAATGTCCCCCTAAACCCCTAAAAACAGCGTTTTTGGCCATTTTCGAAAAATTATAGAGCTGAACCCTGACGTGGTACAAATTTTGCATATATCAGAAATTAAAGGCTAAACCGTGCCCTTTCGAATGAGCCCTATGCCGAATTGATCGCGTGCACCCTTAAAGCAGGGGGTGTATTTGTGTTTAGGGGTGCAGGAAAAATTGATCACAGAAAGAATTTAATCTTAAACGATCATAGAAAATTAATAATGCCAAGGTTTTAACTATATTAAAAGTCGCTGATTACGAATCTGCAGTTAGATTTTAAAAATTTAAGATGACGGGTCGAATATGGTGGATATAAAAATTGGACTCCTAGACACAAATACACCCCCTGATCTAAGGGTGCATGCGATTAATTCGGCATAGGGCTCATTCGAAAGGGCACGATTTAGCCTTTAATTTCTGACATATACAAAGTTTGTAGCACGTCAGGGTTCAGCTCTACAATTTTTCAAAAATGGCCAAAAACGCTGTTTTTAGGGGTTTCAACCCCTTTTTTCTCGAAAACGTGACGTGATGGGAAGTTTTGGACCCCAGATTCGTGTTCAGCACGAAAAATCCGTTCGGAAACACCAGGTCCCGTCTTATTCGCAAAACCCTTGTAGACCAGTGTAATTAACTACCAGGGAGTAGAATTTTCCCCGAGAGTTTTGAGAGTTCAACTCTGCCATTTAATATAAAAAGTCCTCATGATAGGAGGAAAGGGAAAAGAGAGAAAACTCCCAGGGAATTTCTCTTCAGAATCGGCCTGTTCGTCTTGCCTCTTTTTCTCCAATTAACCAAGACCTGACCGAATTGTCCAATTTACTGTACAATTGACTGTCTTCGAAAAATCAAAGACAGTGAGAGAAGTGTGAATGGATTAGTGAAAAAGTGTGAATATATTGCTATTGTCTTGGCAAAATTATCTCATGTAAATGCCGTGTAAGCAAGAGGTATCTATCATATACTCATATTTAACAACATACCACGCGCGTAAACTTAAACCCTGCTTGGCTTGATGTGCAAAGAAATATGTACGATTTATGAGTACGCATGTACATACATACATATGTACATTTTTGGAAGAAAATAGTAACAACACCATACAGCGGAAAGTACTATTACAGAACTAGTAAATTCACCAGTTTTCGGGAGTCGAATACCTCGCATTCTTTCTACTGTCACATTTAACATAGAGTTGTCCTAGGAAGTGACAATTGACTCCCGCTGCTTAACTTGTTGCCTTTAAAAGAACTTTTTTTTCGTTGTGCGATTTGGACCTGGACACTTTTGGCCGCAACTAATTGTAGCAAGCATCCTTGCGCATTCAGCTACAGGCACAACATGTAAGAGTGTTTGTGTTTGGTACATTTGTTGAAATTTGTTTTGCTATTTACAGAGTGGCGTTATTTTGAAATTTTTTAGTGGGCTGAACTCATTCTCTATAAAAATTTCTAGACAACATCATCCTGTGATCGGTCGTACAAACTAAGGAATGAAACCGATTGAAAATAACGTTCCGGTTTCGGTGTCGGTTTTGGTTTCGTTCTTCAAAATTTGTTTCGGTTTCGGTTTCGTTCCGGTTTCGGTTTTGGAATAAAAAAAAATTAAAACAACTTTTGTTTTTGGCAAAGTTAAACATTGTGATTAATTTTGATTTATATAAAGAAAACACTTCTGAATCAATGATACAAAATGATAACCATATGCCACCACATTTGCTAAGATCTAAATGCATAAATTTGTCTATTATATAATGAGAGTTGTTGCTTATAGGTATTTGATATACATATGTACATAAATAAGTAAAACTGAGCTAAGTGTGGTTTCCGCAAAGACTCATTTTTCCGATATTGTAGAACATCAATACATACTTCGTTCTTGCCGTCTTTGATTGGCAAAGGCCAGTAACAGAGGATGGAGAATTTCAGAAGTTTTCGATCCACTAAGATAATGGGAATTACGATTCGCATCTAACTGAGACAGCATTAAAGCCCAAAATACAATAGCGCAGTGGCAGTTTTTAAAATCAGCTGTTACTGTTTTGAAAAAGGAAACGGCTTTAAACGATTACGGTTTCGGTTTCGGTTTCATTCCTTGGTAATCATTTGATAACCAGCACCAAACCGATGATAATGTCAGCCTTGAAATCCAAACTTGACAACAAGTGCTTAGTACTTTGAACTGAGTAGCCAATTGCGAAGCTCAGTCCTCTCTGGACAATGCCAACCTATGATAAGGCCATCCCTTGAGTGTTTAAGAGAAATATTCTAGGTAAGATGTACGGAGTTTTGCGCGTTGGCGCTTAGGAATACGGCAGCCGATGGGACGGTGAGCTGTATATGTATTACAACCGCTCCGCTGACTTAGTGATGCCATACGAATGAACGCAAACGATCCAGTCCTTAAAGTATTGCTTTAGTTGTTGGTGTTAGAAGATGCAGAGGAATGCCTCCTCTGATATGGAATTACCAGATGGAGAAAAACTTGGCTTCACTTGGAATTTACAGATGACACAGAAGAGAAACGGCTGACTTGCTTTAATGAACTCGGCCAAAATCGTTTAAGCGATTACAGCTTCAAAAAAATAACTAAGCGCCGATACAGTACTTGCCAATCAATCGAGTGCTTTGAACTTAAAATAAGACAATATTCAATGAATTGATGTTTTCGAGGTCTTTTAACAAAAAATTCCAAGGAATGTATACAAATTTTACAAATAGGCGATAAAAGACATAGGTTTAAGCATTATATATATGTGGAATTTAATGGTAAAAAATAGTATTTTGCCTAAGTTTTTCTCGATCAACTTTAATTAGGCTACATTAAAATTTTGTAACTTTGGTTTACAATAACTTGGGTTGTGTATATTTACTGTAATTTAAGGTGGCATACAACTTCTTTATGTATACATATACGTACATAATATTGGTGTCGCTATCTACCTAATTGTATACTCTGTTTTTAGCCAGCTCACTCGCTACTTGTATTCTTGGTTATATGCCAAATTCGCTGGCCGGCGTTATATGCTCTCCCCCATGCCCAACCTATACCTGTCGAAGAAGTACCGGTAGCACTACCCCAGGAACCACTACCGAACGTGCCCGCATTACATCAACCCCCCCTGCCGCAAGCCGTGCTACCGCTAAATGTGCTGCCAGTTAATGGACCAATTGTGCCTACCACCACTAGCGCTACGCCAAATGAGCCCGAGATCCCAGAATATCGACGGCAATGTTTCTATGCTGAAGAGGAACTATGTGATAAACCCTTGCCGAATTTGAATCAACAGGCTACCGATATTCACACACATTTAGGCACTTGCCATTGTCGACCACATCCCACCATACCGACATCGTGGTATTGCTGCAACGTAACACACATGTCCATGATCTCATCGTGCAGTAACACCACAAATTGGACCAACTTGCATATACGCAACGTAACACTGTCTGAGTTGGATCTATCGAACTCGCTCTACCAAACACTACAATCGCTGGCGATCACCGATGGTAATATCACTAAGTTGATTGGCGGCCTCTCACGTTTTTCATCAATCAAGTGCCTGAATGTGTCCAATAATAATCTGTCGGAAATCACGCAGCGTGGTTTAATACCGCCAAACCTAAAGGTGCTAGATATATCTAAGAATAATTTAACGGGTATACCCAACTTTAATCAGAATCAAAATATAACGGTAGATGTAAGGTATGTATGTAGAAATTGTTCAGCATTTTGTATCAAAATTCGATTTGTATTTTTTTCTTGTAGTGGCAACAACAACATGCTATGCTTCGACATTTACAATTCGATCTTTCGCGATTCGCTAATGTTCGTCAATCAGGAGAATTCTTTTTGTTTGCAAAATTTTACTTTTCGTTGGTTCAACTCAACTGATTTAATATCCATCAAAGAGCTGGTCAAATGGCGCCCGCTAAACACCGATTGTCCCAGCATTCCCGGCTATGGCAACTGCACTTGCAAGAAGGAGCACATGGTCACCACTGTGACGGTACGCTCAAGCAAAATTGTTCATTAAGGCATACATATTTTGAACTCAATACATATTCTTAGGGTGATCAATCCGAGGCAAAAACAAAAATTATATCAGAAGTTGATTGCTCCAATCTTGGGCTTATTGAGCTACCGCCAAAACTACCCGAAAACACATTCTCATTAAATGTGTCAAACAATAAGGTATAAACTTTACCAAATACTTTAATTTTTACCGTTAAAGATTATTTATCGAATTTGTATCCGCAGATCACGAGCATTGGCAAACACTTCCATACAAATCCTACTTATCAAAGTCTGATTTATCTGGTAGCGGACGACAACAAAATATCTACTATGTATGATTTGGAGGGAACAGCTTTCATGGAGCATTTTCAAAGGCTTTACTTGCGGAACAACGCACTTAGCAGTGTAAGTTTTGGAAACAAATACAAATAAGATACGTAATCGCTGACGTACGCTCAATATCGTCGGCGATACTGCAAAACGGTTTAAGTCTATTAGTACCCTTGACATTTAGTATCTTACTTGCACCGGAATGCTTCTGAAAATCGTTACACCCTAGTAAATGGAGTGACAAAAGTGTCTGCCTTTGCCTGATGAAGATAAACGATTGCCAGAAGCGATCAGATACAGATAACAGATCAATTAAGCACCAGAGGTTATAGTGACATAGAACGTTTTGCAGTATCATCGACAATATTCACAATGTTTTACGTGATACATTTTTTTTTTCGTTGGTTTTTTATAAAAGTATAGTAGATTCCATGATACAATAATTTTTAGAAGGAAAATTGTCCAAGGCATATCAAACAGGTAGTAGCATTAGAGCAAAAACAACATTTGCGTGTATTTTGTTGTTACTTCTGGTATCGAAAGTGTCAAAACCTGTTATGATTTTTTTCTTCTAAATCAAAGCGTGCCATGTGAAACAAAAAAAGTAAAAGTTTAAATTGGAAAAAAAATAAAAATTGTTGCAACTTTCTTTTTTACTAAATTTGTTTGCTTCTCGAAGCATTGATTCAGTCTTTGCAAGGCCCAGTAATAAGCGGTTGTGCTGCTGAGTTGGGCTAACGTTCCAAAAGGTGATATTTAATCGCTTGTTTTGTATGGAATAAGTTTTACATGCAAATAGATTTTAACAATTTAGAATTTTGTGAGAATAAATTCAAAATATTTGACATTTTCGAGACCAAATAATTAAAAAAAAAATCAAATCAAAAATATGTCACTTAATATAATTTTTTAAAACTGATTTCGCATTATAACTTTATTAAAGACTATTTCATGAAAAAGCAAGAAATCTTTAACATAGGAGCCATGCAAAACGTGTAAACGACTTATGTATGTATAAGGATAAATCATTAGATAACAAATTCTAAGTTTTAATTTTTTATTAGTACTTTGATGTAAATGCATATTTAATAAAGATACGAACACATACATACATATATGTATGACGGAAGCTTTGGGGAAACTTTCCTTTACGGCCTGTCGTTGTATGCACGGTGGGCGGAGCTGTAGGGGTGTGGCACCTCCCACACCCCATTTTAGAGAGGAACCGCCCTTATAGGTCCCTAGGGAGCCCTGTTTTTGAAGGCCAATTTTGACATGCATTTTCGCTTTTTGAGTAGATAAAGGCACTCACTGGAGCCTTTCCGTGGTGCCGGAAAAGAGTGGGCTCGCCAAACATAAGGGACGCGCTTAGGGATTATAACCGATATTAAGTAGAATTCTCCTTTGCGTGTTGCTGGAGAAGAGGGGCGAATGCCTCTTTTGTCAAATGTAAACCATGTGCTACGTGTACATGTGATAAATAATAATTTTAGTCAACCCATATACGTGAAATAAAATAGGCCATATAGATTTATAACCGGAAATTGTAGATATTTCGACATTATTAAATAATAAAAGTACTTTTAAACAAAAGTGAGATCCTTTGGCAACGTCTGCAAGTGATAAACATAAATTTCGGCCCACTCGCCCCGACGTTACAAGGAAAGCCAATCCGAAAAACCTTTAAATATGACTCCGTAATGAGCGGTATGTGAGGACAATAAAAGTCCACTATGACTAATTTGCGGCTCTAAATCTTTGCTGAGAAAAAGTAGATCCGTATGCCGTGATGTTCGCTCACTTCAACGATTTCGATGAAATGGAGTTTGAACAACGTGTCTCTTAGGTGTATACCGAACTGACATGCGACCAAGTATGTATACAAGTCTCATTGTGTATATTCTGCTTTACTGATACTTCCTGTTCAATGTGCCTTGGTAGATTCCGTGATAAAAATATAACAAGGTAAAACAATTGAGGGCCAGTCTGACATTTGTCAGCAATATAATTTAAAAATTCAAAACTCAAACTCACACACACATTCTCATTTTAAATCTCAACCAACAACAATTGTGAACAATTTCANAGTAGATAAAGGCACTCACTGGAGCCTTTCCGTGGTGCCGGAAAAGAGTGGGCTCGCCAAACATAAGGGACGCGCTTAGGGATTATAACCGATATTAAGTAGAATTCTCCTTTGCGTGTTGCTGGAGAAGAGGGGCGAATGCCTCTTTTGTCAAATGTAAACCATGTGCTACGTGTACATGTGATAAATAATAATTTTAGTCAACCCATATACGTGAAATAAAATAGGCCATATAGATTTATAACCGGAAATTGTAGATATTTCGACATTATTAAATAATAAAAGTACTTTTAAACAAAAGTGAGATCCTTTGGCAACGTCTGCAAGTGATAAACATAAATTTCGGCCCACTCGCCCCGACGTTACAAGGAAAGCCAATCCGAAAAACCTTTAAATATGACTCCGTAATGAGCGGTATGTGAGGACAATAAAAGTCCACTATGACTAATTTGCGGCTCTAAATCTTTGCTGAGAAAAAGTAGATCCGTATGCCGTGATGTTCGCTCACTTCAACGATTTCGATGAAATGGAGTTTGAACAACGTGTCTCTTAGGTGTATACCGAACTGACATGCGACCAAGTATGTATACAAGTCTCATTGTGTATATTCTGCTTTACTGATACTTCCTGTTCAATGTGCCTTGGTAGATTCCGTGATAAAAATATAACAAGGTAAAACAATTGAGGGCCAGTCTGACATTTGTCAGCAATATAATTTAAAAATTCAAAACTCAAACTCACACACACATTCTCATTTTAAATCTCAACCAACAACAATTGTGAACAATTTCATTTTNAACCTCTTTAGCGGCGGGTGGTTGGTTGGGAGTAAATTGGCAAATTCAACGGAAATTGCACACGGAAATGGTGCAACGGAAATGGTTGGGACGGAAGCAAGTGCTTCTTGGATGTACATATGATATTAATTTAACAAAAACTTGATAATAAAAGGTTAAAGAATTGCACTTAGAAAAATACCAATACAGGAATGAAAGGTGAGTATGTACCAGGCATTGGCAAAGGGTGCTGTTTTTGTGACTTTAAGCCTACT